CCAGGGAGAGCTGGCTACATAGTGAGAGCGGGAGAGAGAGACACGAGAAAATCAATGCTGTGTCCACCAGGGACAGAATGTCATGAAGGTTTTTTTACTCCGTGGTATAATGGAGGGCTGCAGCCTTTTACTGCAGGAGTCACCTTGTCTAATGGAGGGAGGGATGGAAGGATAGAAGGGAGAGTAGAGAGGGAAACACTGTAAAAGAGGGAGGGAGGGAATTTAGGGAGGTGACTAATTGGAATAAGTTGGAGACTGAAAACTTTTGGAGAAAGCGAAGAGTATAGAATGACGATGGGAAGCGCTGCAGCTGAAGAGTAGAATAAATGAAAATAAAGAATGATAGAGAAAAGAGAAAAAGGACAGAAAGATAGAGAAAAGGGGGAAATTATGAGAGGGGGAGAAGGAAGTCGTGGACTGAGCATAAAAGAGGTGGCAGCGATGGGAGGATAAACTAGAGAAAGAAAGATTAAAAAAACAGGGAGGAGGAGGAGGTGTTATAAGATGTCAAAAAAAAGGAGACGGAAGAAATGAATGATCCTGGCACAGCTGAGTCGGCCGTAAGTTTGACTGAAGAAGAAGAATGAAAAAAGGATTCACCTTGTAGCTCAAAGCTATTTAGTTAAAAACATTTTAAAAGGGGCTGAGGCAATTTATAATCCATTGTGATTTATGTGACATTATAGCTTTGGTAGAAAATGAAGCTCCAAATGTAAACGGAGCATGTACGGCTTCTCTATTTTCATATTGGATTGCAACTGTGCATGTTGCTCCAGTGGGACAGACTGTGGCTATACTGGGGAGCACTCAGGTGCACGTGTGAGATGCCAGGAAAGAGCTTTCCCCCTTTTCAGCACATCTTTGGTGGATTTGAAGTCCAGCTTAAAAACATTAATATAAAAATGGTCACAGCTAAGGGATGGAGGAGTTGTTTTCTTTCTGCCACTGATCTTCAAATGGTTGTGAAAGTGAGTCTAAGGTGAAAGAGGTAAGGTGATGTGTAACATTTAGCTTGGATTGAGAAGCGAGAGTGGATTAGATGATCACAGGCCAACCTGAACTCAAAGGTTTGGAGCTAAGCCATGGGAACTGACACTTGCTCACTTACATGCTCACACACACACACACACACTGCAGAGTACAGAGTATAGACAGTTTCAGGCCCATTTAACTTAAGAGTAATAAGCTCCTGTGGACTTTGGCGGCCACATTGAACTTACATCACACTTGGGAGAGGAAACTAAGCAGAGGAGCACATTTGCCTGTAGCCTAACTTTGAATTACCGATCTATGGCAAGATGCATATTAATCAACTCACAGATTGCCCACTGAAAGAGTACAAAAAGCGCATAACTTAGATCTTAATTCACGGATACGCGCATTCCCATTTTGGGATGACAGATTCATATTTGGTCTGTTATACAGAGCTACTGAAAAAAATTCAAACACTTGTAATTCTCTCTGCTGTCCAAGCCTCACTAACTTGTGATTTTACTCATGGGTTGAAATACTTTGATGAATATAACAGCCCACAACTATACATTCATTTGACATACAAAACCCTCATGTGAAAAGGACAGCTAAAGCGATAGCTGAAGGTAAATGTTTGAATGTCGATTATCAGCACTTGTTAATGATCTAATGAAACAGCATGTTTATGGTTAAGAAAACAGTTTCACCAGTAAGGTTCATTTAGTAGCTGTTTTAGGGTGTTTGATAATGTTTTCATCTGTAATTGTCCTATTAATGTTCATCTTGTCTGAGTTGAGTTAAAACAGAACTTCAAAGTTCATTCGCGACATTTCAGCAGCAGTGGAGAAAATAAATCTCACTTCAAGGTCCATTTAGCAGCTGTTGTGGGGCTTTAGAGCCCATAATACGCCCGTCATCAGATGAATGAAATGAAATAATTGAACCACGTGGTGATGTGTTTTCACTTATCTTCATTAGCGGTAGTTCAGAGGATATATATGAGAGATACAACTGGCGAGCAATCAAATATGATCCACCTTTGCATCACCGAAGCGATTATGGTTCATTACTTTCAAGTTAAAATCTGTTTCGGAAACATTTGCATCTTTTTCATTTACACACTTTACCTGCACTATTTGCACAAGTGAAATATGCAGAGAAAACATGTGGTTATTTAGATTTAATTCTTTCCATCTCATTAGCCCCAGGAATACACTTTTCCTTTCGCCTGTCAGTCAGCATCTATGGTAGCGAAATAAGAATCGCCAAAGAATGGCTTTTTATCTTTTCATAGCTTGTAGTTATTATGTGTTGCTATGTGTTTCCGTCTCTTCCTCTCTTCATCTCCTCTGTCATGTCAGATGTGTGATGAAACATGGCAGCAAACTTCAATTTACACAGAGAAGATTTGTTGGCCTAATCTAATGATTTCCGCAGCAACATCAACTTTTATTGTCGCCTGTTTTTCATAAAGCTGAAGTGTCCTGCAGAACCAAATTTCTATTTTTTTTTCTATCTAATGTTTTCCTGAATCCTTTCTCATTTAGAACATTTCCACAAGAGCCTGTCTGGTAGTTTAGAGGCGCCATTGATCAGCTATTATTGATGGGAAGCATTGATTGGGAAGCGTATTGATCTCACTATTGGTGATTAGGAGATCGTGAATATTTGACAGGGGGATATTGAGCATTTGATTTGAGGACAAAACCTTTGTGGACAGGAAGAGTGGTAAGGGAGACAAGCTGATTTAACAGTAAGAAAAGAAGGAATATGGGACCAGGCAAGAAAAAAAAAGAGAATGAAGGAGAGAGGAAGGGCAGCAGAGAAGCAGGTTGTAGCAGGTGTACGGAGTAGGAGGTACAAGTTTCTGATTCTGTTTCAAATATAAAAACCACATACGTAGAATGTAATGCTTTGGACTGCATTTCTCAACATAAAATTGCAAAGAAATTGGGGGTTTAAAGCTAAGGTAAATATTATTATTGTAAGAAATCTCTGTACTAGGGCTGCCACAAACGATTATTTTGATAGTCGACTAGTCACCGATTATTTTTGCGATTAGTCGACTAATCAGATCATGCATCCGTGCAGCTTATTGCACCAGCAGCATCTGCTCTTATATAACTATCATTAGCTTACAGCTTTAAGTGTTTAAGGTCTGTGCTAACTAAAAATAAAGACAAGATGATAGTTTATTAAATTTTAATGAAATTTGCAGATTGTTTCGGTGAAGTTTAATAAACTCCTTGCTATCTAAAATATAACAGGACACCGGAATATATTCTCCAGCATCTCACACTTCTGATAATCAGCTGTCTGCTTGATGTTTATTCAGCTGTGCAAAAACTATAACTTTAATCTCAGCCAAACCGATTTACTCAGGAACAAATAAAATACTAAAAAAAGCCAAACAATAACATTTTAAGTTATCTAAGTGACTTATATATATTTAACTCGAGTAGCGAAAGACGGCGGTGGGTTTGAAAACGATTTGCCGGGAGTCCGGTGTTCTCACGGCTCTAGTGAGCCTTGCCCCCGGCTAGCTATCGAGCTAGTGGGTAACAGACGTCTCCGAAAACGTCGGAGCGCTTTTGAAAATATGTGGTGTCTTGATAAACTGAGCAGATATTTGAGGTTTACACAGCTACATTCTCGCCTGAAAATATGTTAAACGTTTATTTTGTGACCCAGAAAGAATAATAAGAGTAATATTAAAACTAACTAGCTGCCGCCATTGTTGGAAACTGAGCTGGGCCGCGCTATGAATTCTGGGACAGCTTCTTCTTCTTCTTCGGGGTTTAACGGCAGCTGGCATCCTTGTACATGCAGTGCTGCCATCTTCTGTTTCAGTCCATTATTACACTCTTAAATCCTACTACTCATTCCTGCATCTTTTGTGATCTTACAAAGCTTCAGACGACGCGTCGACTATTAAATCAGTCGTCGTTCGATTTTGATAGGGCGACGTAATCGTGACTAGTCGACAAATCGTGGCAGCCCTACTCTGTACACAAGGGAAAGTGTGAAAACCCATACAGAACAGGAGTACCCTGGGACCCTCGATTGGCAATCCACTCAAAACAGACTTGATTCTATAGTGAAACTAAATGCAGACTTCTAAAAACTACTGTCAGGGAATTCAGTGTGTTGATGCATCAACAAGTTTAAACTCTTGCTGAAGTGGAGATATGGGAGCTTCATCAACAAGGCTAAAGCTTTTATCAGCCCACAGTTTAGCCTGCATCCCTGATAGAGTGACAGGCCATTACACAAGGCATGGATGACTGGCACATCTGTGCCAAACAAAACTATACACTGTTTTTACAGTAATAAAAACACACATGCATATGACATAATTTACAGAAAAGCCATTGATTATATCCGCAAGACATTGCCAAAGATAGAGTGCACAAGTGGCCTGCCTATCGTCCTGAGATGTCATCTTTAGAAACATTTAAAAGATTACAAACTGAAAAATATGAAAAAGAAGATCCTAAAAGGTGAAGCAGCTAAAATTCTATCAAGTCTTTCCAGTTATCAAAGAGTTAAAGGAGGTGATGAACCATCCTTAAGGAATAACTATTTTTAATTATTAGCTCTTTTAAGTAGGAATGACATTGTTTTATTGTAGCTATGCAGTAAAATTCAAACACCATACGCATCTTCATTATAGTACAAGTGATTTAAAAAGAAATCCATCCATGCAGCTTACTGGATTTAACTTAAACTCATCTGATGCTAGCATATAGTAAACACAAACAATCTGTTATATGAACTATGAACATCCTGTTTTTATTAAAGTTGTATTTTGTTCACATTTAATGAAGTTGAATATATAAACACAGGAGCAATTAAATGGATGAAGTCTAAATGTGATTTTGTGCTTCATGATTGTGTAATAATCCCAGAGAAAATGCAAAAATGTTTAGGCATTTATGAAAATTTCCGGATGCAGTAATATACGATACACATGTGATAGGTAGTGGAGAGGAGAAGATGAAAAAGAGAATTATAATAATTGTGCTTACAGGTTCTTGACACCGGTGATCCCTCTGAAAGCCTTTCTTGGAACTGCCTGAATCTGGTTTTCACTGAGGTCTCTGCAGAGAGGGAAGAGGAAGACAAGAGGATGAGAGACAGACAGGGAGAACGGGAGAAAGAGAGAGAGAGTGACCGAAGAAGTGGCATTAGTTGAGGTATACACTTAAGATAGGAGTCAAATGATAAACAAAGCCACAACCATTTGATCTAACGCACATACAGCTACACACACACTCACACACACACAGACACACACACACACACCCAATTACAGAACAAAGGCACAGAAGGAGAAAGAGATGGAGAGAGAGGGGAAGAGTGAGAGAAAGGATGATATGACATTTATGATCAGTGGAACAATTTGGTCCAAAGAGCTTCAAAGACAAAAGGAACTATAAGAAATATGGCTGGCACGAGTCCATCTGCTGCCTTGAAGAATGTGTGTGTGTGTGTGTGTGTGTGTGTGTGTGTGTGTGTGTGTGTGTGTGTCTGTGTGTCTGTGTGTGTGTGTGTGTGTGTGTGTGTGTGTGTGTGTGTGTCTGTGTGTGTGTGTGCGTGTGTGTGTGTGTGTGTGTGTGTGCGTGTGTGTGTGAGATTAATGGAGAGGCAATGCAAGGAAAGAATGAGAAACTATGAAGAGAGAATCAGAGTAAAAGACGCGTGCATGTGTGTGTGTTGCATCTGTGTGTTTCACATGTTTTTAATGTAGAACTTTTTTCTTTCTTTTTTTCTCCTTTACTGGAGCCCTCCAACAGCGCCTCATTGCTCTGGCATTAAAATGAAGCAATCATATTTTTTCTGAGAAACAGAAGAACACACACATTTTATTACCGTCATTAAGCGATTTATTTATTTTTTCTCCCCTTTAAGGATTTCCATCTTCCTCATTCTCTCAACACACAGTGAACATGGGATTACATGCAACACCCTCGGTTTCTTTTCTCTTCCTGCTCAATAGAGCCAAATGATTTTTGACATGACTCAGCGGCCTTAAATCTATTAGTTTTGTTTGTGGGGAAGAAGAAGGCCTGGCAGGTAATCAGACTCCAGAAAGCACAGCGTGATTACAGGGAGAAAAGGAAAGGTATGAAATATCGCACGGCTGATCGCCTTATATTGCTGCGAGCTAGGCCTGCGTTGAACAATCATACTATACTACACAAAGCCAATCAGCACATTAATACATGGCTGTGTATTTTAGGTAGTCGACATACACTTAGAAAATCACAACAAAGCAGCACAAAAGAGCAGCACAACTCTGGACCTTTATGTTTGATTTAGACATAAATACATGTGTACAGATAAGCACTCAGCATGTGACAAACACATTCATAATGTTTTCTTGTCACACAATTAAGGAACACTGCTTCGTACTTGTCAGTTTTCACACAGACAATAAAACACATGTGCCCACACACACACGCACATCTTGGAAGAAATATGCCACGCTCACATACATGCCGTATATGCTTAAGCTATCTAATTTACACTCACACTTGCATTCATGTAGCCTACACAGGAAGAAAATTGGCTGTGCATTATTCCAGAGCCAATCAACTTTTATTAGTGCCGTGAATGTTAATTGGCGAGCCGTGCTCAGAAAACAGAAAACTCATTTCCTCAAACTAACAAGGTTTCATCGTTTTGGATGTTTCCCTTTCAGCCTTGTGTTTTCTGGCTCATTCCTTTTGTTTGACAAGAGATGAGTGTTCCCTGTTTTGTCTCTGCAGGCCTTGATGGGAAAAGTATGTGCCTGGCATTGTGTAGTCTTTAGGCAAAGAAAATGTGTGCTTTTATGTGCAATTTTGCTCAGCACTTGTGGTAACAAAGAGCAGGGGGGGAAACGGCACACATTTGACAGGCAGGAATGGTATTATGATATTTTAATGTGCAGCACAGCCAGAAAATATTCCTTGTGTTTACACTTCTTGTTTTGAAGGTTTTGACACTTTTTGGGTATAGCCATGTTTTGTTTTTTTCCCTTTTTACTGAAAAGAGATTTTCTTCTTCTTTTGCGTCTTTGGTGTTCCCATACTGACATTGACAGAGCAAATAGGAAGCAGAATGCAAAGCTGTTATCAGTCTTGCTTTGTATTGCACATTCACATTCTCTATCATTCTCTAGTATCTATCACTCTCTCCATCCATCTACCTATCTAACAATATCCATAAATCTATCTTGTTTATCTCTTTAATTTGCATCTCTCTCATATGGCCCTGCGCTCTGTGGACTGCTGACAAACAGAGCAAAGAATAAAAACAAAAAGAAAGCAGGAGAATGAGAACAAGATAAAGGAGGAAAAGGCATTAAAAAGTCATATATCAGATGAGTTCCATGGCTAATAAATCTTTTATCGTTTTGTTTACCCACCATGATATTTATTTGTTATTTCTTCTAACAGAAGGAAAACCATCCAAGTCAAATAAAACCTATTATGAGACTGTGTGTCTCTCTGCCGGCCTTTATGACTCCAGCTGAGTGACTGACACCAGCTCCAGCAGTGCACGGTTTAGGCCCAAATAATAAAACTCATATGTGACAAGACCATGAATGAAGTTTTCATTATATGGATGAGTTCTGGTCATCTGTTTGTGAAAATTATTTTAGGGGTCGCTTTTTTTTTCTTTCTTTTTTTGTTAACTAGCCATGCTGCATCACTGCTTTGGTGACATTTTGTGAATTGAAAATAAAAGACGGACACCTCATCAACATTTTATTGGAGAGAAGAAAAATACGACGTTTTATGTTAGCAAGTAAATCAGGATTCAGTGTGTGATGTGCAAATTTTAATGGGTTTTTACACTGCTCAGAATTGTCATATTCAGATATTTAAAAATTAAATATTCAAATTGACAGTTCTTGCTGAGACACATTGTGTAGTTTGTTGTGAACACAATGATGTAACAAACTTCACAATGTATGTGAGTCAGTGGAAACCATCGATCCTTTGAGGGCTGGATTCAAACTAAAATTCAAAGTTAAAAAACATGAAATCAAAGTCTGCGCCAACTTGTGTTAATGCAGCTCTCTGGTGTGTGCGACCCTCCAACGTGATTTCTCCAGACCATCACTGACCCATTGCCAAACTGGTCACGGTAGATGATCTTGCAAGCAGCATAGAGAAGAAGAAATTCCAATCCAGAATCTCAAATTGGGGGTTCTGTCATTATAAATATGCTGGGTTTCAAATTCTTACTGTGAATTACAGGCAGTGATGAACAATATGATTTTAGCAACCACAAAGCTATTCAAGCGGTAACAAAACGTGAACTGTGTGTTGCATGGCTAAGATATGCTGTGGTTGGACAAACTGAAATCTGATAATAGGCTTGATCACTGGCATGACTGGCAAAAAAACCCAAGCAAGCAAATGCTTTGATTGACAGTATAATGTAATTTAGGGAATAATTCAAAGCTTAATTCTGAAAATGTGTTATTTAAAACAAAGTTAACACATTGGAAAAAATCTGCAACACTGAAAACAAAAGCAAAAAATATAACGATAGTCATCAGATTGGAATTAAAATGTTTCAAGACCTGGACAGAGCAGAGGAATTCAACAGTAAAAAACCTCAAAAATTAAATATACGTCAATATTTCTAAATGACCCCCCCACACCCCCAGCAGATTTCACCAACAGGTCTCCATGTATTATTCCTTGCGGTGGGAATAAATGAGAGTATAGGAAACACGATGAAGAAGTAACTCACACAGCTTATTAATGAACTGACACTATGCTGAAATACTGATAATACAGTCGTACACACAAACTGACGCCACAATTCAGTGAATAAACATAATTTTTGCTATTACCTTTTAAATGAGGTTTTGTATTTGCTGGTAGCACAGATATTGTGATGATCATAGACGATCATCTCGGAGTGTAAGTGCTGCAGCATTGCATTACATTTACATACTATTCTTTTAACCTTTAAAAAGACTAAATAAAATATTAAATAACTTAACAAAACGAATGCATTTAAAACCATTCAAATCAATGCAAAATCTACTTAAAATCAAGCATCCACATCGGACCCCAATAACCTATAGTAAGACAGCTAGTTTAAAAAGAAAGAAAAAAGAGTTCTGCAGTAATAAAGCAGATGCCGCTTTCTACCATTTCACACAGCTTATACTGAGAGTTATTAAAAATTACCCATAATGCATTCCTAAAATCTGAAGCCATTCACGATCCACAGCTCTGTTATGCCATCATGTAGACGGTTGTCCTCCTCTCATCTCTGTGTGAGTCATACCTGCCAACCTTTGAGTAGAGAATGGCTATGATCAACAGAAGATTGGCCTATGACCCTTGAAAAGGACACTCACTGATTGGCCAGCTACAAAGGCACAAACTCACAAAGCCCAAGCATATAGCGGCCTCATTTGGAAAGTGGAATGGTTTGGACAACATTTAAATTATTGGATTTAGCCTCTTTTTTTGGTCCTCCTCCAATACCACAGCATTTGAGGCAGAGAGCAATTAGTCTCCTAAGAATTCTATTAAAGAGACGGATGGCTGTTTGAATTATGCATCAGTTTCATTAAGATGACAAATTCTGTAAATTATATCAGTGATACTGATTATGAAAACAACTGCATATCTTTGAGAAAGAGAAGGATTTGAAGAACTGGATAGAGATAAGACAAACAATACAAAGTTCACCAAAGTTCACGCATGTTGACTTTCGTATCTGTGGGTGCAGATGAATGGCGAAGTAGACTACAAAGAAAGAAAACAAAAGAACAACAACAAAGGGCATCAGCAGAAGAAACAGTCTTCCATTATCCATTCTGTGTTTGCTATGGTGCTTGACGTACTGTATAATTGATAGAATTTTGACCAAATGTTTCCAGACCTCCTTTCTTTCACTACACAGACCCCCCACTCTCAGTTAGCAGTTTCCAGCCAAGACCTCCCCTCTCTGGGCATGGTGACTCTCTGTGGCCCCTCAAAGTCTGGAGGGATTGAGAATGACACCAAGATCCTCCTGGGGTAGAAGTGTGAGTGTGTGTGCATGCGTGCACGCGTGTGTATGCTCCAAGCCATCACCTCCT